AGGCCTCCTCCCTAATACAGGTTGACGACAGGGAGCCAGGACTCCTGGGTTCTGCCCCCGGCCCTGCTGCTGATTTGCTCTGTGACCCTAGGGAAGTCACCCCGTCTTTCCCTGCCTGTTTCCCCACCTGAGGATGGGCTGAGAATAGGTACCCGCGCCCCAGGGGCGCTGTGAGCTTAGAGGCATTGTCTGCAAAGCCCTTTGAGATCCCAGGCGCAGCAGAGGGGCCGGTCTGATGAGCACTAGGAGCGCTCCGGGCTGGGCACTGCTGCACAGAATGTGACGTTGGTGTCTAATGAACGGGGGAGTAGCAGTCAGCTTCGTACCGGGACAGAGACCTCCACTCACTGCATTGCCACCTGCGTCAGTGAGACACGCCCCAAAGGCTGGCTGCCCGTGGAGTGGACAGGGGATGCCTGGACAGCCCGGCTAGTCTTCCCAGGGCTGCCTCTGGTCCAGCTGGGTATGGCCCCACGCAGGGATGCTGGTTGGCTGGCGCTGCGCCTCCCTTGGGTTACATCACGGAATGGCAAGGCGAGAGTCCAGTGGAGAGCAATGAAAATGATCAGGGGGCTGGGGCACATGACATATGAGGAGAGGCTGAGGGAACTGGGATTGTTTAGTCTGCAGAAGAGAAGAATGAGGGGGGATTTGATAGCTGCTTCCAACTACCTGAAGGGGGGTTCCAAAGAGGATGGATCTAGACTGTTCTCAGTGGTAGCAGATGACAGAACAAGGAGCAATGGTCTCAAGTTGCAGTGGGGGAGGTTTCGGTTGGATATTAGGAAACACTTTTTCACTAGGAGGGTGGTGAAGCACTGGAATGGGTTCCCTAGGGAGGTGGTGGAATCTCCTTCCTTAGAGGTGTTTAAGGTCAGGCTTGACAAAGCCCTGGCTGGGATGATTTAGTTGGGGATTGGTCCTGCTTTGAGCAGGGGGGTTGGACTAGATGACCTCCTGAGGTCCCTTCCAACCCTGATATTCTATGATTCTATGACACGTTCACTGTAGGAGTGGGCAGTGGAACAACAGGGGGAGCTCATGAGCATTGGTGTTGCATCAGTACTGCGCCAATGCCCGGCCTGGCGCTGGGGGCATTGTACAGTGTGTGTGTGTGGGGGGCGTGTAGTCCTTTACTGGAAGCGGTAAAGCAAGGCTTTGACATGAGATCACGAAAGATGCTGTGGTTCTCTCGGTCAAGACCTCCCCGAGCTTGAAAATCTGCCACGCCGGAGGAACCTGGGGTGCTCGGTCTCATAGCTGGGAATCGGGGCCCTGATCTGGCTGAATCCCAGCCCGGTAACTCCATTCCCCGCCTGGTTCCACACAGGAGACGTGGAGATGGAGGCAGATTCTCCCAGAGGCTGGAGTCCCTGCTGGACTTTCCCTCTGGAGCGTGTCAGAGGCCAGAGCGTCTCCCGGCTGCCTTGGCTCGGCGGTGCTGTCACTAGCCGTTAGATCAGGCACCAGCCTGCCAGGTGACCCTTGGCTTTTCAAGGCCAGGCTAGCTGGGCAGCTGGGCTGGCTTTTCCGAATCTCTCTCCTGAGCAGCCGGGTGTCGGTCCTAGCCCCAGCCTGGCACAGACAGCTCCAGAGAAGGCCGTTCCCCTGACCATTTTCCAGCGGCCCAGTTGAGCGAGCCGCAAGGAGGCCGGGGTGAAAGGCTGTCAGAGGGACCCTGCTGCAGCCCAGACTTGCTGCCTGGATGTGTCCTATGGGGATTTAACAGGCATTCTGGAATTCGCTGAGGGGAGACAGACCCTAAGGTGCCCTCCCCTTTCAAGCCCCAGAAAAGCTCCAGGCGATCTCCGCACGCAGGGAGTTCCAGTCATTAATTACCACTCGCGTTGTGTAGTAGGCTCGGCACAACTCACTGGAAATTAAAATCACAATGTGCAGCCAATGAATTACCCATGGCCCAATTAACACTGGGCCAGGAAAGCTGAATTCGGTTGCCTACTCTCTGTCTGGGGAACCTTGGGCCAGTTACTTTGCGTCCTGTGCCTCGGTTTCCCCATTTATGAAAACAGAGTTAATTTATCCTTCCCTCCCTTACTGGGGTGTTATGAAGTGCTTTGATGTTTGGAGCTCTCTGGGTAGAAATGGCTATAGAAATATCAGTCTATTAGCCAAAGACGAAGGAAGGCTGGGCTGATGGCTAAGGCATTAGCTGGAGACTCGGGGTTCAATTTCCTGCGTGACTTTGGGCATGTCACTTAACAGCTGTGTGCCTCAGTTTGCCATCCCTAAAATGGATATATCAGCACTGGCCTACCTCACAGGATGAATACGCTATGGATTGTGAGAGGCTCACATACTGCAGTAATGGGCCCATATAAATACCCAAGACCAATGTACTTATTGCAATGCAAACACTGCCCCCTAGTGGTGAGAATCACTGCTTGCCTATGTGTTATAGGCACTATACTGTTAACAGCTGGTGGAGATTCTCCTTCAGCCCTCTGTCCAGCTGTCTCAGCCAAGAGCCTTGAGCACAAGACTATCCTTCCTCTCTTGTCTGTGATTTTATCGCGGGCTACAGTCACCTTGTTTTTAAGTGTTTTTTAACCCCAAGGCACCGGTAACAATCCATCGCTATCCACCTCGGTCGCTCAAGGCACCGTGGGGCTGGGGCTCCGTCTGGGAGAGCTAAGCTGCCCATTGGAGCTGTGTTCTCAGGGTCTCGTGTTTGTGGGGGCTGAGCGCTCCAGGGGATCTCGGAGGGGAATGCTTTCCCAGCTCAGCCTGCAGAGGCCGGTCTTAGAGGTGTAGGGGCAGGTCCCCGCTGTGCATGGAGAGTCGCCCTGCGGTCTAGATGCTTCCAAGGCAGGGGCGGTTTGCTCTGGTTTGAGAGGGCTTTCCTAATCTGAATGCTGAGAATCTGCCGCCGGCGTGTGTGTGTGTGTGGGGGGGGGCTCTGTCAGCACAGGGCGAGCCGGGGAGATCTGGGATCTGCTAGAGACAAAGACCCAGCAGCAGGCAAGGTGAACCCTGAGGACGAGCCTACAGAGAGATCTGGGGCCTGAGGGACCTCGGGAAGGGGGTGAGGCCGGAGCAGGGAGCTGGCTGAGAAAGGGGTCTCCCTGGGCCTTGGTGTGCCGGCAGCGTCTCTCTGCAGGAAGCGTGCGCCTGGGGAAGTGAGAAGAGGCGCCTGTCGCCGGGTGGGGAGCGCGTTGCTTTCACCAGCTGGACCTTAGCCTCAGAGCGGTGCCGGCGGAGTCCCCCTCCCTCCCCCATGCACTGCCCTGCATTTCATTTTCTTTTTGGTATGTCCGTTTGTCTGTGTCCTTCTGTGTGTCTCTGCTCCGGAGCAGCGTTCGGGCCCTCGTCCGTCATGGGTCTCTGCCTGGTTTTGGTTTCAAGTCGAGCGTTAGCTTTTTATTTTGAACGTTGTGGTCTCTGTGGTTCCCCTGTCCTGTCCCCCTCTGTCCACGTCTGTCGCTGTGCCAGGCCGGCGGCCCTGCAGCCTTCGGCCTCCCCTCCCCTCTGCTGCAATCTGTCCCAGGACAAAACCCTGATTGCAGCCCCTGACCCTCTTTCCCCCCCCCCAGGCCAGAATCCCCCCCCGACCCTGCCCCCTTCTCCAGAGCCAGAAATCCACCCACCCTCTGTTTGCACCTCAGACACCAAGCCCTCTTTTGGGGGCCGAATGAGTAGCAGAGAGGGGGGGGAGCGTAGGTGGGAAAGGGACAATGCCTTGGGGGTGAGGGCTGTTGCTGGCGTCTGGTCACCGAGGACAAGCCCAGGACTTTTCATGTGGCTTCTATCCGAGAGGCGATTTAAAGAGACGCTGTCAGACGCTGTCACCACAGGTTTAGAACTCACCTCCATTGCTGGCTGAAAACACATCCCCCTTAGAAGCTTAGATAATCTCCTTCCTGAGTCACTTGTCCCTGCCCCCCCCAACCTTGGGGACTGGGCTCTTTGGAGAACCTGCCCCTTCTTTAGATGCCTCGATGGGAGCTGAACTCATCTGGAAATCAGGCCCCGGTTGCAGGGGGCGAGCCCGAATTCCCCAGCCTGGGCAGAGATGAAGGAGGGAGTTGAATTCCCACCTGCTGGGCAGCTCACTGGGGCCCCTCGGTATTTTGTTGATGTCATTTGCTGCCTGGCAGCGGAGCAGCGAATGGATCCAACCCATCTTGAGAGATTTACAAAGCGGCCAATGCCTCCTCATCAGGTGTGAACCCCCCCCCCAGTCTCGACCACTGGACAGCGCCCCTTTAAATCTGACCAGTCTGAGAATCCAATTAGTGGATTGCTCTGTCTCCTGGTCACCAAACCGAGATGGTACCAGAAGCCGGGGTGCATTGCATGGCCAAGAACCCTGGGTGGAGCAGCCTGTGTAGAGTATTTGCCCTTAGTGCCCCTCTGTCTCTATTCAGTCGCTGTGGGTGGGGTCGCTCTGCCGTTAGCCGGGGCCAGCTAGGAGTGCTGAGCAAGGTGGGACTCGGGCTTCAGGCATCGGCCGTTCACCTCTGGAGAACGGGGCTGCCACGTGAATGAAGTCTGGTGGTTGCCTGCCTTGCCCATGCCCTGCCCCTTGGGTAGCAATGAACATTGCCACACAGTCTACACTTCCCGTAGAGACCCACGCTAGCTCGTCTCGAGCTAGTGTGCTAAAAATAGCAGTGAGGTCACAGCCTACCTGTGCAGGGTAACAGCGAGCCAGGCCCCTAGTCCCCATCCCCTGGGCATTGTACGGCCGCCAGCCATCCAGCCCAAGCTCTGCTCAGGGGCACCCCAGGGCTGAACTGGGGGGCCTGGATGGAGGATCTGGAACGTGGACCCTGCCCCCGGCCAGCCAGTGCTATCAGCCCCTCACTTCAGTTCCTGGCTGCCAGCCCCGACCAAGCAGCTCCACGACAGAACAGTAACTGCTGGATTTCCTGCCCCGCCAGGTCGCCCCAACGGCCGAGGCATCAGGCCGAGGGCTGGCGGGAAGGTCCCTGACCCCAGCTCTGCTCTCTCCCCTTCCCCCACCCCGTGTAGATCCCGAGAGGACTAGCACACACATGATCTCGGCAGACGATGCGGAGTACCCGCGGGAATACAGGACCCTGGGGAACGGGACCCGGCGCTTCTCCAACGTGGGGCTGGTGCACACCTCGGAACGCCGGCACACGGTGATCGCCGCCCAGAGCCTGGAGGCCCTGACTGGGCTCCAGAAGGCCGAGATGGACCGCAAGCGAGACGCCTTCATGGACCACCTGAAGAACAAGTACCCGCAGCACGCCCTGGCCATCCGAGGCCAGCAGGACAGGATCCGGGATCAGGTAAGGGGCATCGTTTTCCCCCCCGTCTCCGCCTTTCAAGGGGCTCTGTGAACTCTAGCCCAGGCCTGGCGGTGGGGTCTGGCAGTGAAGTCACCTCATGCATAAAAGGGCTGGTGGGCTCGGTCGGGGTCTTGCCAGCAGCAGTAGGCTTTCCCCAGGCTCTCCCAGGGTTGTGAACGCACAGCCTCTCTCTAGGGGGACACGGGGTGTGTGTGTGGGAATTTGACCTCGGGGTGGGCTAGGAGACAAGCATTGGGAGCAGATTTACCTGTGTGAGGAGCTGGAGGCATGGGGGGATTTGATCTCTGGTGGGGGCTAATGGGCATGCAGCGGGGGTGTATTTATCCTCTCTATGAGGAACCAGGGCCATGGAGCCCCCCCACAATGGATCTGTCCTCCAGGGGGCTAGCTGGCACATGCGGGAGGAGGGGAAACCCCAGCCCAGTTCTCTCCAACCTTCACTTGGGTTGGGGCTGTGAGTAGGGGCTGGTGAAGGGTAGAAGCTGAGAGCCAAGCCCCCCTGCTCCCTACCTGGCCCGCGGGGGTCAGCACCAATGCCCGTTGCACACCTGGACTCTGCGGGCCCTAAACACCCTGCTCGGGGCCTCCTCGGCTCTGGGCTTCCTCCCTCCAGAGCACTTCTTCCCTCCCTGTGGGTGCAGGGGGAACCTCGAGAAATAGATCACACCGGCCAAACCTTTCACCGCAGCCCTCGCCCCAGGCTGCCTCTTAGGGAGGCGTTTCTGGCCCCCTGTTTTTATTAACCAGCCCAATAGCCCTCCTGCCATGGGTAGCCCCAGCGTGAGGCTGGGAGCCTGGCGCAAGCCGCGGTGATGGTGGGTGTAGATACGTATGCCAGATTGCCAAGGGCTCAGCACCCAAATCTTCCGCCGAGCTCAGTTGCTGTTTATGCACCTAAATAAGAGACCGATTCTCCCAAGAACCCAGCACCCCAGGGGCACCCGATGTGCTGAGCTTTTGGGAAACTCTGGCTCTGACTGGGGGAGAGAACCCGGCCCCAGGCGTTTCTACAGCTTGCTTTGTGATAACACGGCTGAGACAGGTATTGAGGGTTAGTCCTTGTTTGGACAGGCTGTTACCAGGAGCTGGGGCTTGAAGCCTAGAGTGGCAGCCAGACGGGGGCTGCATGGTAGCTCCACGCGTTGTAGAATTGAGCATGTTCGTGTCATACCGCCTCATGCCGTCGGAGGGCTTGGATGCACCGGAACTGAGTGGGGGGGAAAGACCCTGTCTGTGCCTGGCGCGGAGATTCCCCGCTGAGCTTGAGCGGTTCGGTGCAGGCGCTGAGCATCGCTGTCTCTGATGCAGACTGGTCTGTAATTACCTGTGTGTAATTAGCGACTGGCCCCCAGTGTGGGCCAGCAGGAGAGGAGAGCAGTGCCGCATCTGCTGGTGTCTCCGTAGTACAGACTGCGTTATAGCTCCCCTTATCCGCAGGGCAGGGACAGCATGGGCAAGCTCCCCCACTGCCATGCACCGCAGTGGGGAGGCAGTGTGACCCCAGGGGTAGAGCGCCGGCCTGACACTCAGAAGACATGGGTTCAGTTCCCAGCTCAGCCACTGGCCTGCTGGATGACCCCGGGCAAGTCGCTTTGCTGCCCCGTGCCTCAGTTTCCCCTGACACGGACCTCCTTTGTAAAGCCCTTGGAGATCATTTGATGAAAAGAGCTAAACAAGAATAACAACCCTGACCATCTCCAGGAGATCAGCTGCCATGATCCGTTCTGTGCTTGGCTTCTGTGCCGAGCTTACCGACAAAGTGTGTGTGTGTGTGTGTGTGTGTATGTGTATGTGTGTGTGTGGTGTTACGGATGCCTGTCCTTTAAGGAGTGGGCCACGACCCCAAATCCACCCACGTTGGATAGTTGATCTGGGCTGGAACGGCGCTAGGTGCAGCAAGCTGTATATCCCACCGCACATTCCCTGAGCCCTCTGTCCCCGCCTGCCCCAGTCCCAGCTCGGCACACAGGGGGATGTGTTCTCCTGGACGTACGGTAGCGAGGGAATTTCTGGGGCTTGCTGCGTTTCAGCTCTGGGCTAGCGATGAAAGGAGAGAGGCTCTCCCCTTCCGCAGCCGCTCAGTGCTGTCACGGTGGCACACACAGGCTGGCTGGTTTGTGACCCTCTCACAAACTCTAGTGCAGGGCACGGGCCTGGGACTCTCCCTAGCGCCGCAGCAGTTCCAGGCTGCAGAGCTGCCCGCCGGCGGTGCTGCCATAAGTTAGGGCTATTTCGGCCCCTGACCAGCCTAGAAACCCCAGGGCACAAAGCCCCCTTTCCTCCACGCTCAGAACTGTGGCTGTGGGTCTGGCTACGCTGCAGTCAGAGGTGTGGCTGCAGCACGTGTGGACGTAGCCCATGAAAACAGCAGTGGCCCCTCAGCAGCACAGGCTGGCCGCTCGAGCACGTACCCAGGGTCCCGGGCGGGGTTGTCCGGCCCGTGCGGCCGCGGCTTCGCTGCTTTCGTTACGTCTACACGCTCAGGTTCGTCTACACGTGCTGCAGTCGCAGCACAGAATTCCAGCCAAAGGCGGCCGCCCGCGCTAAGGAATCATCCGTCCGTGTCTGGGCCGGGCGATGGGAAGGCACGAATCACCTCTCAAGGGCCCGGGCACCCCCTGTGCCCTTTGTGAGCTCCCCATCGCGTTACCATCCTTTCCAACGCAGGTGCTTCCTCTGCTTAAGGGGACTTCAGCAAAGCCATTTGAAAACAGCACCTAGATCTGTAGCAGAGGCACGGAGGGTCCTTGGGGACACCGGCGTTCCAGGCACTGAGCTGCCGTCATGTCCCCGGCGGTCCCGGTTCCTCCTGCTTCGGTAGGGCTCACACGCGGATTGCTGGCAATGCTGCCCTCCCTGCCAACCGGTTCGCTAAAAGGGCCCCGGGGAGATTTGGCAGCTGCACCTGGTGAATTCGGGTATCTGGCGTGACCCTGCGCGCGCCAGCAGGAGCCTCTGGAATCACAGCTCAGGAAGAGAATGGGGCCTGCATGGGGTCCTAAACCTGGGCAAGGCAGGGGAGCAGCTGGGCTCGGTGGATTCATGCGCTGCTCTCTGCTGCGGTGAGTGCAGGCTCTGCCCTGTGCCACTAGCTGGACCAGCCCCCCGCTGCAGTCAGGCCAGGGGGGGCCCTGTAGGCCTTGTGGCTAAGAGGGCCGGGCAGCTGAAGCCCGAGCAGTGGGGTGGGCAGCAGAAGAAGGGGAAGGAGGGGAGTGGGGCATAGCTGGAAATGGCAGCATCCCAAAAGGGGGTGGAGGGCGAGGGCATCTGCTGCTTCCGGATTGGCTGAGAGCTCATGTCCTCCCAGCATGCAGCAGGATGAGCATCAGGGCGTGCCCCCCATCAGCCTCGGGACTGACTCTAGGCCAGCAGGCCTTTGGTAACAGGGCTGGATTGTGTCTTGCTCCAGCAGACTCTGGGGCTGGGAAGGAGGCTGCGAGCTTGGCAGGATGAATGAGAACCCGAACCCTGCTGGGGGCACTAATGAGCTGAATTTGCCGGTCTCTCCCCCCACCTCAGCGAGTCTGCGAGGGGGAGTCCTGGCACAGCAAGGGGGCTGCGGGCCAGGACTGAGGGGCATTCGCAGACCAGGGGGTGGGGTGGAGGGAGAGATGCAGGGCGGAACGGCAGATGGTGCCAGGAGTGAGGGGCATTGCCAGAGCTGTCTGGGCTCCAGAACCGGAACAGCAGGCGGTGCCGCGGGTGAGGTGCATTGGCAGAGCTGCGTGTGCGGAGGGGAAGGGATTCGAACACAGCACCTGTCGGCGCTCAGTTACCAGAGCCAGACCATCAGCGATGCCCGGCTCCATGCAATCATTCATTCCAAAATGAAAAGAATGAAAGACAGTCCCGTCCCTCCGCCCCCCAAGAGTACGGGCCTTTTACCTGCCTTAGTCACCCTATTCCTCCCATTCTTGCTTGAGAAACAACCAGGACTCTCTCCCAGGACGCTCTCCTAAGGTTCCCACCTGGAACCTACATGCCTCTTGCACGGATGCAGCATCCATTAGAAAGTGGCGTGGTCTTGTTAGGTCCTGTTGTATCTCTGCGTCATAAAATCCCACCCACGCCTCACCTCTTCCAGAGGCCACGGGACTGGGCGTGCGACTGGCAGCAGGGTGGGGTTCAGAGTGGAGCTGGTGCTTACTCCCGTCGATACAAACTCCCTACAGTACTGTTGGCCCTCTCTTCACCTGCCATGAGTTTTCATCTACTGAGTGGCAAAATAAATGTGTTTTTGTAAGTCCTGCGCGGCACTGGACTGGGACTCAGGAGACGTGGGTTCTATTCCCTGCTCTGTCACTGGCCTGTTGGGTGACCTTAGGCAAAGTCACTTCCCCACTCTGTGACTCAGTTTCCCCATCTACATAAAAACATAAGAATGGCCGTGCTGGGTCAGACCAATGGTCCATCCAGCCCAGTGTCCTGTCTTCCAACTGTGGCCGGTGCCAGGTGCTGCAGAGAGAATGAACTGAACGGGGCAGTTATTGAGTGATCCATCCCCTGTCATCCAATTCCAGCTTCTGGTAGTCAAAGATTTAGGAGCATGCCATTGCATCCCTGACCATCTTGGGTAATAGCCATTGATGGACCTATCCTCTAGGAATTTATCTAATTCTTTTTTGGCCTTCACAACATCCCCTGGCAATGAGTTCCACAGGTTGACTGTGCACTGGGTGAAGAAGTACTTCCTTATGTTTGTTTTAAATCTGCTGCTTATTAATTTCATTGGGTAACCCCTGGTTCTTGTGTTATGTGAAGGGGTAAATAACACTTCTTTAGTCACCTTCTCCACACCAGTCATAATTTTATAAACCTCTATCGTTTCCCCGCTCAGTCATCTCTCTTCTAAGCTGAATAATCCCAGTCTTTTTAATCTTTCCTCATACAGAAGCTGTTCCAGATCCCTAATCATTTTTTGTTGCCCTCCTCTGTACTTTTTCCAATTCTAATACACCTTTTGTGAGATGGGTGACCAG